ATGTGGTTATCAATGAATATTCCATTGTTAGCACATTTTCAAATGCTCACAAGCCTCCAGTAAGCCTTCCACCCATTTCCACTGTTTCTTCAGATAACCGATTTCCAATTTTCCATTCTAGCTCTCTACATAATAATCATCAAGAAAATGTCATCGTTGACAAAGATGACTAATCTCTCCAGAGCTCTTATGTATTTCCCTGGGTTTCCTCTTCTGCCACGTTCCCAAAACTCTCTTCTTTTTCAAGATAAAACTATTCAAGATTACAAACGTAGTTTGGCAAAACAGGAAACAATGGTTTTATGTTTAAACTTAGCATTAATCAGTCAGGCTATTCTTCCATCTTTTCCTTGAGACTTCCAATTTGCTTCTGTATTTTCAATAACTTGCTGTATTGTTTCTTTAATAGAGAATTCCCTTCTTCCAAAATTATTATTACTGCCTGCAGCCTGATTTTTCGATATGACCACAGAAACAAAAATAGATTCTAGAAAATAGAAAATTACATATCAATAGATTTTCTTCTATTTTATTTTAGCTCTACTCCTTCGAAGTGCTCTCACATCTTTTATTAGTTTATGCTTAAAGCTAATTTGACAGAGACTGCCTAATCCATCTTCTCCTTGGTCTTACAAGATGCATCACAGAAGGCTTCAAATTGCTTCTCTCAGCAATTGATGCTAAGGTTTGTGCTTGTGAATATCTCAAAAGCAATCTAATTATGATCTTTCCTAAGGTGTAGGACATAAGAATTTCATTTCATGTCTGGCTACATCCCTTGAAACTCTTGGTTTAAGCACAGTCTATTTCAGAGATACAGAGAATAGCTGAAAAGGCAGTGAAAAGGCAAAGAACAAAGGCCTGAATACAGGTGAAGAAAGAGAGAGTTGCAATGACTGGAGAAAAAAAAAAAGTGTATCAGGCTGACATAAAACTTGTTCCAAGTAATGGGAAAGCAGGGCATTGAGCCTGACTTGTCTTGACAGAGCTCAGGACTGAAAGCTTGACCCATAAACCAGAATAAAAGCCGTTTAATAAAAAATAAAATAAAAAAAAATTTTAAGTCTTTACTAAGTCAATTGCAGTGACACTGAAAAGTGACAAAGTCTCCATTAACGTAGTCAACTACTTTTATAAAACACAGACAGGCCCTCAAAACCAAGGGTGCGAGCTGATTAAACGTTTAAAAGAACTTGCATGCAACATTATGAAATTATTCAAACCCAGACAACATACAGAGGAAAACAACGCATATGCCTCATTTTTAGCCCATGACAGAATACACCAGAGTGTATCAACGGAAAGGTCTTCTGGGTGGTCTTTTGTGGTCTAGTTTAGAGTTCAAGCATATTCACTGCTAAATTGCCTAGAGAAAAGTACACACACAAAGTGCAGATCCTTTGCCTTTACTTCTGAAGTGCCAAAAACTTGAAATTACCTCTCAGTGGCAATCCAACACTCCCCCAGTTTGGCAAACTACTGAACTCGAGTATATGACAAATTTGGTAGTAACATGCTGTAGAAATTCTGGATCAACAAAACAGGCTGGAATGGACCCTTTAAGTTAGAGTGGTAAGAGTTAAAAAGATACTCCAAAACATTTGCTGAGGGTCTGCTGACATCTTCTTAGTTCTTCAAATCAGGGAAGATGGCTTAGGGATAACTTTATCTTACTCTCTCCTACCAACATACTACACTGACCGTTCCAGCCAGTTCTATGCTCACGTATTGCATCTGTAAGTAAAGCAAACTCCCAAGACTTCACTATTGATCAGCTTATGATCCCACTACGAGATTTATTTATTTATTTTTAAACATAAAAGTGTTCAAACTCCCTTTCTAAACAACAAGGAGTTTCCATAGTTCAATATCAGATTTTGAAATAGTCAAGCTAAAGCCCATAACATTGTATTTTTCATTTGCCTTCTCCTTACTAGACAGACTCATGTGAAAGAAATTAAAGAAAACTTCTCATCTTTTATTTTATGGAAAGATTAACAATACCAAATGAGGGAATTGGATATTTCATAAGAGATACTTAAGCAAGGAAAAAAAAGAGATAATTATTTCTCAGTCAAAATGCAGAGACAGGATTTTCTACTTAAAGCATCTAAGTAGTTTTCAAGAAAAAACCGAGAAAGTAATAATTTCCAAAATAGCAAATTACTTCTAAAGCAGTTAGATTTTTTTTCTGAGAGAAAAAACCATTTGCTTGAGCCTTTGACATTTAAGGATACTTACCAATCTAGGAATCAAGATAAAATCTGCATTTAGTATAATAAATAAAAACACCCTGCTTGATACTAAGAAAATACTAAATTGAATGAATAGAAGAAAAAGTTTTCTTTCAAGGGTCAAATATACTTTAACACATCTAAGATAAATTACTAAAATATACACAGACGTCAGCGTGTAATTCTGACTCTTACTGTGAGCACACAAGAGACTGCCTGCCATATAGCAGGCCACCTGGGTCAACGTGAGCACTCCCGAGACAATCAGCAGTTAACTGCAGCATAAAATTCATAAGCCTTTGACCCTGATAAAGCCTGCAGGATGAAATATTTAAGTAGAATTGTTTATGGTATTTAACTTCACACCAGTGCCTTTTTCTGCATAACTGTTTGGGGATTTTTTTTTTTTCCCAGCGGGGCTAGCACTGATTCATTTGAGTTGTTTTGCAGAACAAGTGCTAAGAAAACATACAAGAAACCCCTGGACATTAAAAACTGCCCCATTATAATTTTGGAAAGTAAAATGTTACAAGGACAAAATATAAAGGAAAAAAAGATCCTTAAATCAAGGTGTTAAAATCATACCTAGGTTTCTAAATACATGGCCTTTTTCTCTGAGCCTTATATGACTCAGAAAATGCTGAGCTTCCAAAAATTCCCATTTTTGTCTGCTTCAGACTCACTTGAGGACGTCCTTTTGCATACTTTGGCCCAACTGTTCAAGTGACTTTCTGGTTCCAAGATGACAGTCACAAATATGTGAATAACTACATCTATATATAAACGTTCATCTTACCACTATAAAATAAACCAGAAAATTTACAGAATGGTTTTGTACATACCAATACACCATTTTCACACGTCCAAGCACTTGGATTAGATTCAAGTTTACTGACACAAACTATAAATCTGTCTGGAAACACACGTAGCTCTATACAAAAATAATTGAAAAGAAGATTACAAAAATTATAACCATATTCAAAACCACACATAACGACAAATATACATGTTATTTTAGTAAATAATTAATTTTTTTAATTGCATGCTAACTCACTTCACGCACTCCACTCATTTCTTACCTACTCTCTTCAACATCCCATCCCTCCCTTTTGTTTTGCTTTTTTAAACCATTCAAAAAAATTCAATAAGTCAGAGTAAGTTTAGTTCCCAAGAGGATAGTCCTGGCTGCAAATTAGTCCACCTGCACCCTTGGACAAATGTACCAGACAGAACCAACAGACAAACCACTCAATGATGATTTCTTTTGTGCTATGCTGGCGATGAGTCTTTTCATCACAAAAGCTATAAATTATGTTTGTAATACAGCACAACGTATTCAATCGGGACTTGGCATAAAAACTCAGCACGAGGCTAAGTGTTTCAAACTCTGACTACAGTGATTTTTGAAGTCATTAAACAAATTGGTTAACTGCTACCGAATTACATATTTTACTCAAGATCACATGGTTTGTTATGAACACAACAAAGTTTCTATTGACAAACGATTAAAAATTGAGGGGTTCTCAGATTAGAATAGACCAGACAAAGCTTTATTCAGTACCTAGCAACGCTATGAAAACAGCATAGCTGGATATTCTGTTATTTTACGTATCAGATTATTTCCAGATTACTATCTTCATATTTTCAGCTCAGATGTTTTTGTTGTTGGTTTTTGTTTTGGTTTGCTTTTATAAAAAGAGAGTTGCTAATTTTTAGAGTTTGTTATACTTCAAAAACAAGCCATAACACCCCATTTTCTGGGATGAGAAAGAGACAAGGCATGCAGAAAAACCACGAGGTTGACCTCAGATTTTTTTGGTAGAGTATCTCTTCACAAGGAATTGCATATAGGCATGATGTGCACAATTTGCCAGTGACGATCAGGTCATCCATATGGGTTACTGCCTCTCTACAAGGTACTGCTTCTTCACCAACAGCGTATCTCCATTAGTATCTGACAAACCCCTCTGAGTGCGTACCAGCAGTGACTTTTCTAGAGTCATTACAATGAAAGATGGGGAGGTTGAAACAGATTACCTTGCATTTGCCAGTGGTTGAAAAAGCATACACAGAGACCTCAGATGCATCTGTATTGGCACAATAGCTTGTTAAGCTACTGTAACTTGATAATGAATACAAGCCTTCCATAATCCTTTCAGAAATATCAACTCTGTTAGCAAAACTGTGTCCAAGGAAGTATTCGTGCTGTGCCTTATGTCCAGACTATTCTTTCTCTGCTTGTATCCTCAAGACCTGAAAAGCCACGCACAAAGGTCTAGTACAATGGCTTGCAAACTGTGAGCAGTCTACGGACATCTTCCAAATGGGCTACAAAAGAAAAGCTGGACAACTGTTGCAAGGACTGAATTTGTTACGTGGGGTTCCAATAATAGCCTCTTAGGTAAGTTTACTTTAGATATTGAGTGAGCATCGCCGATTAAAGTATGCAAGATTCTTCTGTAAGGCTCAACCTCTAGTTTTTGTTTGTGAAGTACTAGGTGTATCTTACAGAAAGGAAACACTGACACCAAATTATTTATTTTTTTAGGGTATGTGGTTATTTTGTAATTTATTGGGAGAGAAACCCAGCAAAATGAAGTTCCTTTCTTGTTAAGAACTTCATGTGGAAGCACAGTTTTGACTGCAGCATCAGAGCCTCTCTTTTTGGCACCACGAGTAGGGCAAGTTCATTCCAGTTAGACATTTTTATTGTTACATTTTATAACAAACTCACTTGCTGGCTAACAAAACAGAAGTATCTTTAGGTATTCATTGATGCTTAAAAAAAGTTCAGATTTAATACACAGAAACCAATGCTGAGATACCAACACAGACACTCTGCAATTCTACTCTAACTATTCTTCCAGGAGGCTGGGAGAACAAGTTTGATGAAATATTTAAAATCAACACTCCAATCCCTTCAACCAGTATGGACTTAGAAAACAACCAGTTGGCATTTAAAGAGAGATTTAAACATCTATGAATATAATGAATTCCTATAAAAATAAGAAATTCATAAAAAATATTCAGTATTTTTAAGGGCACCTAATTGATGTACTTTGCTTTTTTTAATATTAAAAGCTCAACACAAAGGGCAGTGATTGTTATAGCTCCTTTTTATTGCTGTTGGCAGGACAGGATTGATATCACTTCCTTACAGAGCATCTTGGCTTGAGAAAACATGAAAAAAAGATCTGGTCCAATGACATCACCTACATAAAGATTTTATAGCACTGAGGTGAATGAAAGCCTTTTCTTGCATACACTTGTACCATAGAGTTGATGTCACAAGACACTCGAGCAATAATGAAGTGATTCATACTGCAACCTCTGGCTGATTCACCCTGCAGAGACTCCGCAAAATGCTGAGTCTCATCATACTTACAGCATTTGGCGTGGCTTAGCTGATTACCCTGGGGCAAGGCATACACAAATTTAAAATTAAGTTTAAAAAAAAAATAATCCATCATATGTTAAGAAACACTCTTTTTTTTTTTTTAGGAAACATCTTCTGAAAAAAAAAAAAAAAACCCAAAACCAAGCTCTGAAAGAAATTCTGATTAAGTTGACCAAAATCTGACAAAGTATTAGTTTATGTTCCTTTTTTTTCCTCCCAGAAATGCAAAATTCTAAGTAACACTGTAAGAAACTGATTTCTTACCACGATAACGTTTCCCGACAGCACAACGGAGATTAACCCATCTCTTCATAAAGTAGGCAGTAATGTGAAAACTGTTGGCTGCAACATAAAACAAAGGGATAATAGTAAGTGTAAGGGTATCTTGGGCATTCTGGTCTCAAAGTGTTGCACATCTGTGAAGACAGGATTGAGAGAAAGCAGCAGCAGCAGCTCAAGAATACAAAAGGAAACGTAACTTTAAAGGAATATTTTTAAAAAGAAACTGCTCATACTGAAGTGTCAAGAAATTAGTATCTGAAATGGGAAAAATCTAAACAAATTACTAACCATCAAGTTCTGGTATCCAACCACAGAAAGAAATTTAAATCAATTAATTGATCAGAGATGTCATCTGCTTAATAGCCTAGTGGCATGGTCACTAGTCCAATAGGCTAGAGTCCTATTCACTATGATGTTTTCATACATATTCATACATACAAGAACGCTACAGATGACCATTCACTTAACTGCCTTCTAGAGAAAGGTGACATACTCAAAGCTGATAGAAAAAATGCCGGCTATAAAAAAACCAAACCAGCAAACACAAAAGGTCTTAATTATCTACAATTCCATTGAATTAAGTGAGAAATGCATACATTTAAACTCCTCATTATCTACAAGTAGACAGAGCTAGCCTGGCTGACCCAGCAGATACCTGTAACATACACAGAGTCTTCTTCAAGTTTCTATTCCTGAGAATGACAGAAATCCTTGTGCATCAGGAGCGTAAGAAAAGGGCAGAAAGGATTATATTACAGCAAAGAGACTGTTAGACTACGGCTAAGGAAATCAGCTTTTACTTTTGTTTTACTTAAATTCCAAAATGATCCCGAGTAAATCAGTTAGGACTTGATTCATAAAGGTATTTAGCAACCTAACTCCCACTGCAATTGAAAGAAGTTAGCATCTGTGACTCCTCCTCCATAGTCTCTCTGTACACCTCACTAAAATGAATGTGCAAAAGCAGGTTAGTGGTGTTTCCCCTAACTCTGATGGGTGTTGCAAGACTTAAATTATTGCTGCTTCCGAGACAGTCAGATACCTTAGGTGCTATTACCACAGAAAAGTTAGAAAATTGAGTGCTAATGCTGTTCTTCTAATCTAACTATTTAAAAAGAAGTAAGGAAAGCTTGTTTGTTCCAGTCTCAATCTCTACTGAGCAAGTGCCAAGGCATTGCCTTATTTCCAAGTATAAACCCCAAAATGCATGTCCTCTCCTGCACAGTCTACAACTCTCCTACTTGTACAAGATCTCCCGGAACTCACCATCAAGTGCTACTTGGTCTACTTAATCAAGTGCTGTTCAGCATCACCTCTCATTAAGAACTATAGTTATTGATCACAATCAATCCCTTTGAAATTTATCAGCCATCTTTTTTCCTTCCCCTCAGGAAGATACCTAAAATTTGACTTCCCTTTAGAGATCAAGTCAAGATGTGACAAGTTGAACCATCCCTTAAAAATGATGAGCGCTAGAGAAAAATTTGGATGTAATCCACCAGCTTTATTAACTGTATATTTACGAGCACAATTAAAGAAAATTACTTTTAGCTATTTCCAGTTTGGCATCCACAATTCTTTAACGCTGTTAGTAGGGTTAGCCAAATCAAAGAATTTGCCCCGTACATAAGTAAGTTATTAGTGTGATAATAGCATCTTCCACTGTGACCTCCGTAACGCTGAAAAAGTAACATTCCTAAAAGTACAACTTCGCAAACAAATCTTCAAACAGAGAGTAAGTATTAAAAGAGTCTTTCCACCTCCATTTGCCTGGGGTATTCCAAATGTATTTTTCTTGAGAGGAACTTAAAGTGAAAAAGTGTGAATCTTTTGCTTTTCACAGGGAAAAGCACGACACTTCATTCCTGAAATTCTTTCATGAATCAGTGACATGTATATCTGTTTATTTTCCTCGCTATCCTGGTATTCTCTGAGAGGTTAAGTGTTTAATCATATTTGATCGACTAATGGCCTGAAAAAAGTTTAAATTCCTCTTAAAGGCCCTTGATTCAGCTAGCCACTGTTCTCTGGAAGAGAACACCTACCTCAAAGCTAACAAAATAAATAATTACGTAAGAGATCAAGACACCTCTACACTATTTTTGCAGTGTCAGCTCAAGTCTGAAAGTCTTATAAAGCCTTCACAGGGAGTTGCACCTGAGCTAATAAGTTCAGCCCAGAAGGACTAACACTAGAAAATAATTTTAGTTTCCATGACTATTTACTATTTGACTTTGCTGAAAAAGCCTGAACAGATGATTTGCTGTTACTTATTGCTAACTGTGAGAAAATTTTAAGATGCATTACATTCAAGATACCTATATTTTGAAAGTGTCACACAGCTACACTCATCAGATGTTTTGAAACCCTCTTGTATGCAACATCTGATCTAATCCATAGTCAGCTGGAATCTGCAAAACTTCCCTAATTTTAAAGTTGCCAGAGTTACTGCAGAACTATAAAAACTGCGATATCCTCTTTCTGCTTCCTTCAAGAGAAATATATTATCCAATTAATCATTCTGCTTCGTGAAATAAGAAACTAAAAAATAAGCCCCACAAGAAAACCTTCTTCTCCAACAACCTCACGCAACTTGCAGCTTTTTAAACTTTCTACACAGTTACTCAGCATGAGTCTAAGTCTGTTCTCAATTTCAGACTTGTCCACCATCAACGCTGTTTATATACTAGCGTATACTAATGTTGGCTTTGGGTAAGCTGTGGATTATGCTCCAGGGAAGACAGCCAGCGTGTACTCAGCAAGGACCAAAAGCTGCTGTTCGTAACATCTGGAAGGAGGGACCAACTGTTATGTACCAAATGATCCATCACTACCTCCTTTTAAGCACACCATAGAAGTTTTAACCTCCAGCCTCATACAGTGTTTTGCAGCCTGTAACAGAGAAAAAGTTCACAGATCTTAGGCTCAGCAAACCCAGTTGGCCCAATCTTCAGCTTCCTCTTCATCATGCAACCTAGACGAAGCTCCATTTGTAGATTACCAGCACAGAAGCAGAAATAAAAATTGTTGTTAGTGATTTGGAGTTTTGTTTTTCTTACTTCAAAACTGTGCACTTATATCATCAGATCCAGGTTCCAAAAACAAACAAGGAAAAAAAAAGCAAACAAGAAACCCCAAACAAAAAAACCCAAACCCAACAGAATAGATAGACCCTGAAACCCAAAGTGTGACTGAATCAAAGTGGTTCTAGAAAAGCCACAGTTCAGCTTCAGCTGAAATATGCACCAGTGAGTGCTGCCTTTTAAGGGAATGGTAATTTGCCCTGCTTGTTATATTTCATAGTCCCACGACACCGAGAGGAAGTATCAGACACCGACTCTTTACTGTAAGACTATCCAGCAACACTTGTTTTCCAAAGGAGTCACAGCCAAGCTGACTTGCGCTTCCAGAAGGCTGCCAAGAAGAGGCTGTGGTACAGCGCGGAGCAGTGGGAAGCCCTCTCCCACGGCTATTACGGACCATTCATCTGGGAGCCTGGGAAAATGCCTCTGAGCTGCTGAGTTATCTGGAGCAGCCTGGCAGGTGTTCACTTCCCAGCGCAATCTGGCACCTGCATGGCTCTGTAACTAAATTCAGTCAAGTCTTCTCCAAAGCCACAGCACAAGCCCAAGAAGGCCAGCTGCCCCCCGAACATTTCCGTATCGGACAGGCACCTATTTCTCATCGCACAGTATTTTTATACCATCTTTAAAAGAACACCTATTTTCCCTCCCAGCCTAGATGTTTCACGTTTCTGACACGTCTTTCTGGATTAGGACTGCCTCTACGTTTGGAAAGTAACAAATCGTTGCAACACACAGATATAAAAAAAAAAAAAGAGGATGAATTTCTTATGTTACAATGTGAAAGTAAATACATGGGTGCATTAGACTTTCTGAAACACTATATCGTACATTAAAAAAAAATTCTACATTTTGCTTATGCTAGATGAATTATTCCACACAGATTAAGCTATACCAGTAATAACGTTTACAGTATATAGAGCTTTTCATCTTCAAAGTGCTCTACAGACATATTATTACACTGCTTTTTAGCAGTCATATTTCTCCACTTAAAGTTATTCACCACCAAATTCAAATTCCCGATTGTTAGTAAACAAAACAAAAAGGGAACATTTTATTCTAAACCTACTGTTAATTGTGCAGCTTTCCTTCCCCAAAACAAATGTTCATGTTTATAGCTTGTGCTCCAGAGTAGGTTGCCATTTCTAATTTAGAAGAGATTCAAAACCAAACGTTGGCATGTAAGTTTAAGTCCAAGTCTAGGATAGACCAGCGACAGCAGACGCAAGACAGCAGATACAAAAAGCTGTCGAGATTTCCCGAGCCTTTTCTGGTGTTGGGAATGGGTACAGAATTTCTGTATCATCTCAGACACACACACACAAATAAAAAATAAATAAAAAAAAAAAATCAACATCATAGTTAATGACAGCAGCAACTTCACCTAATGCAAATTTTTATACACCAAATAGTGGGTTTCAGAACAACTTGAACAGCTCAGGATGGCATCCATTCTTTCCATCCATTCTGCCTTCAGTTCAAAGAATTTTTAGTTTTTTTTAAAATTTTTCATTATTTCAAGTGATAATCATAAGCAAGTACACAGGAAAATGTGTACTGATCAACGTAAAATAAAGCCCATAAACTTCTAAAAAAATGTTTAATACCTAAGAAAAAAAACATTCGGGCCATGAAATTTATATACATAAAGAATGGACCAAAAAAAAAAAAAGACTTGGGTGCACTACTGGGTGAGTATCGCTGCAGGGTCTGATCTTGCAAGCTCTTATACCTGCAAATAAATTCAGTGATGTAATTTGCCTCTGTCTTTTTCCAGGGTGCCTTACAGTCAGATTAAACCAAGTATAGAAAAAGCAGATTACTGATTTTTTTTCTCCTTTTTCTTTCACAATTTTATTAGTATTAGTGCTGTTCTTCTGTCTACTAAATCTTCTGAACACAGGCCAGTTGCCAACACAAATAGGTGAGAGATCTGTCCCATCAAGGATGGGGGGGGACAAGATTCAGTTCCTATCA